TGGTTAATCATTATATCCTCATTTGCTTACATATAAATTAATGTTCATAATATTTACTAAGAATTTGTAATGATTTAAAACAATTTTAAATATTTTATTTTACTTGTTTAAGATATTTAAAAATTACCACATTATTTCCTGTCAGTGGTCACTTATTACAGATTTTTCTTAGTACGTGATTCAACACATGAAAAAAACTATATTCATCTTCTTCAACGTTCATTTTCGATACATACAAATTATATATTTACAAAAATGCAAAAACCAATAAGTTTTTAACGCAGGTATAAAAATGTACTTAATTGAAAAATGAAAAATCGTACTTAAAATATTTAAAACGATAACGTGCTCCAAAATAAAATAATTGACGTATTTACATAGTGCATTTATCATAATAGTGTCTATAAGTTCGAAAAAAAATTGACAATATTCGATAAAAACATTCGGTATATAAAAATGCATTGCCGTTTCAATACAAAAACATTACTCTAGTGATGACATTGTTATATCCTTCTTTTTATTTTGTACTTTATATATTCACAAGTGGTTTGTTCAATTTTTATTCAATAAAAGCATGGATGTAAGTAAAACTTTTAGTTGTTTATGCGCATAAATTGATTTCTTATTTATTTTTATAGTATATCAAAATTCAATGCCTAATCCTTTATTAAAGAAAGGGTGCATATCACAAATCAATCGATAGGGCAATACTATTCAAAGATGATCTCATTCGTTTGTTTTTCTCGTTATGTCTTTGATGCTTTGCATTGTACCTACTAAATTGTAACAATGAAACATCAAATCAATTAGTACACGTTGCCGAAACAATCGTACAATAGCTATTTATATTTTCATAAATACGAGTATATCAGTCTGTACATGGTTGAAGTATTCGTAACAGCTTTCCGTATTCAGTATTTATCCACGCAAAGACTAAAGTAGTCTACAAGCATTTTTTACGAAATTCCTTTTCTTGTGATTCTTTGTCTTGGCTCCCGGCCGCAAAACTATTGTACCATTCCCTGTATTCCGACCACATGTGGATCCGTTCGGACTAAAAGCACCTGTAATGCAAAATACATACATAATATATTTTCATAAGTCGGGAAATTTGCAATCTAACATTAGAGGTAGCTAGCCGGTGTCTGAATTTATAGTACAATTTCTTACACTCCATTTCGTCATCCCGTTAATGCGTTATTACATATATATAGGTTTACGCTACATATAATTTTACATACAATTAGTTATGTGTAATCCTGTTATCTCTGTAAATGCTGTATGTACTGTAAACAGATAGGCCGTTATTTGTACAATTTATGTTAACGAATAAACTGATTACTACCGATTAATTATAGTATTGCGTATTTTTTTTTATATCTCTTCACTGGCTACGCTCGAAAGGAAATATATTCCTTGTAAAATAATGAAGAGTAACGATTAAAGTTAAGTACGGTGGTGTAAGTGAGATTCACGCTCCGTTCCCACACTTTTACCGCGTGTGCGCTCGTGAAAATCGTCGAAATTTTATTCTATGTTCGGGTTTGACGTGAAAGTAGACCATTTTAGTTATCGTACTTTCTTATACCGTACAATTAAATCAACACACTAATGTTATCCACGTATAATTTTCCGCCTCTAGTTTCTACTTCAAACGTTAAGTTCATTCAATCTTTGTTTCACGCGGGATTATCGATGCATAAAGCGAAAAAGTTCATTCTTTGGGCAATGCTGCAAGCATGTGTGTATATACACGTGTGCGTCGTTTACATACACTCGCGCGTTATTCAAGAATCAAGATCGATTCCTACAGTCGCGCGATCTGAAGATGTGTTCACACCTTACAAGACGCGCCTAAAGTTCTCGACGTCAAATCGACGTTTATGGTCATTAATTTTCTACGATCTTTCTATTTAATAAATTTATCACACCACTCTAAATAATTAGAGAAAAATTGTGCGTATTTAAAACGATCATTCACATTGGATTCTGCTAAATTTGCTAAATAATTTCATATATAGATGCTTGTAACTTCATTTGATCTGGAAAAAGGCATTACCACAAGTTCGTTAATTTTGGTATAGTCTATCGAAAGAATTCATCGTATGCGTCCCTGGCACAGCCATAACCGGCAGATCCATATATAACCTCGACCGTTGGTCAAATACTGATCAGGGTAGACCACCTGCTAAATCTAGACCAACGTTCAACCCTCCCTTTTGTCTTGTCGACCGACTGTCGGTCGATTTGCGATCACGAACGTTCCTCGGGTAATACTTCGTGTCGAGAAACGAGAAAGGAAAAGTACATGAGGCGAGAGAGTCGCAAAAATAATCTACTTCGAATTCTGCTGGCCTGATACATCTGTCTCCTCACGAACCGCGAACGTGATGACGATATACTTAAAGACGAGGCGACAGCAGCAGCAGGATCAACTCACCCGTAAGTAGAAGCGTGCGTATCCGGCACAGTTAATACATTATGCATCTTGTCGAGGAGTTTCCAAGAAAGTGTACTGTTCTTTTCGCACACGCATTACCGTCTAAACAACTGGTCAGCGTCTATGATCGGATCGGCCACGTGTGAATCGACGCCACCTTCATTGTTCTCGCTCATACAGATCAACGTGTTAATAACCGACAAGAATCGCGATCGATGATATCATTCATTAGCAATTTTTTTCTTGTCTACACAACGAAATGATATTACAACGCACGATATTATCAGTGTTTTCGATCTGTGAAATTAAAGAAAGGGAAAGGACTTGATTGAAGAAAATTAGCAGACGGAGGTGTCAAGAACCTTGACAAGGTCACTCACTTAGCATTCTCCAAATAAAATCTACGTTTTCCAGTCTTTCAACATACTATACTGGGTGTTTCGCCTAAACATCTCCTTCAATTACGATGATACAAGAACGACAGAATATATGAAGAAAAAATATTTTTGGCGCAAGGTAATTTTTTCTCTCTCGCACATCATAGCTGATATTAAAATGCGTTCAGAAATGCATAATAATGTGACCTTGACTCGCGAAATTAAAGTTGAACGTGAAATTTATTTCCATCGGGATCGCAGGTTTCAATGACGAGGGAGGATAACCTGTGAGACACCCTGTATATCTCCAGTGCCGATATACTCAGCGATTATTTATTATTATTACGATCCACTCACACGCACGTATTATAGAATGAAAGATACGATAGTTGCCGCTGCATCGAGGAATCTCACGCGTGGAGAAAACAGAGGTAAAAGAATCTACTCACTTATTACAGAAGGAGATCTTGGACCGGCAGAGTATAATCTCAGGTCGTCCTGATAATCGTCATCGCAGCGACGCATCTCGTGGAGACATCGCGACGCCAAATGCCGGAAGACGCTCATGACTCCGACGTCCTCTTTCACGGACGTTCTTAGAAGCTTACAGCCTAGGGCACGACCGAGCCTCTCAGCTTCGTCCCTGAAACAATGCTATGCTCGAGATTACTCGAAATTGCGCCGCTAATTAAGCAAACTAGGCGTTACGCTTACGGATCAATGACGCACTGATCAACGAGGTCCATCTTGTTTTGTACAAGAACCGTGGGAATTTCGCCGCACTCGTTCTCCACCTGCAAAACAGAAACGCTTTTATCAGTCTGCGAACTGGGATTCAGACTCTTTTCTTTTTCTAATTAACGCTAACAAAGTAGCTACCGTTCAAACGAAGATTTCGTACATTCTAAGAAATCGTCATTAGCGTAATTGAGCCTTAAAGAGAATTTGTACCTGTTCCATTTTAAACTGTGAAATGTACAGTTTCGTTTAATTCTCGTTCTGTTTCTGTGGAAGGAATATAGTCGAAACGAATATATTCACCAGTGACAACTATTCTCGGCGATTTGTACATGTTCCAAGGCTCAGTTACACCTCTCTCGACTGTTTCTCTGTAGCCGAATGAGATAAAAAAAAAAAGCGAACATACAAGTTTCTACGAAAGGAATTCGAGAGCATGTCCGATGATCTCGAACGATGATCGGAATCATCTACGGCCTAACGTGCTTTTTATCCGGTGCCCGTCATAAATTACCGACGGACGTACTAATACTGTCGTTATTAATCTTATACATAAACTTATATTACACTGATTATGCTATTTCACAGTAAGCCCCTTTCGAAATCATTAAATTTCTCGATAAATCTTCCCAGAGTTTTTCGTCGTTGCTTTTATAGCGTAGCCACTAATCAACTTTCAATTATTCGTGTCGTTGGGATACCATATTGTTTTGCGCAACGCGTTCGCGTATCAAAGAGGTATCATTAAGGAACACCGTATAAAACAACGGATCGTGTAAGAGTATACTTTTAAGGCATTGCGAATTGCACGTACTACACAATCGCGTGCATTCTCTAAGTACTTTAGACTCGTTTTACGCGAGAGGAAAACCGGAAAGTGTATCGACGGGAGATTCAATTTTTCTTTGAACGTTCTTCGAAAGATTCTGTATATGTATTTATCAGATGCTGTACCGAACGAAACGAATAAAAAAAAAGTGCTGAATTTTCTCTTCACATTCGATAAAATTTACGACTACTGAATAACAAAACAAAACTACATAATTCACACATCATAAAGTAATAAAGAAACTATACGAAAAGACCAAAAAGAAGTAGTTAAAAGAACAAGAGCAAGGGGCCTCGAACGCATTACATGCACGTAACAACTGATCCCCCCCACCTAGAAAGGGACACGATTCTACGAAGCGCATATTCGCAAAACAATCTAAGACCTAACGTGTGTCGCTACCTGTGGAAACGTTCAGCTGTGGAGCGACTTAAAATCAGCCCCTTGCTTTAATGGCACCTTCACTTTCACATTCCACCATCCGTCGTGACTACCTACGGAAACG